CCTTCATCTCCCTAGGCAGAAATAATCTTTCCCTCCTTTGAAAATCCACAGCACTTTTTCATGCCAGACTTCAGCACCATTTACATCTTCCATGGCATCTATTTGTGTGGGTAAGCTTTATTTTTCCCAACTATCTAATATTTCCTAAATTTGTATTAAAAATATTCCCTAAATATGTATTAAATAAAAACACACAAAATATGTGAATGTGCTTAATAATCTATAAAGTAGTATTAAATATAAGTTACTATTATAAAAGTATTATGTTTTAGATTAAAAATATTGCTAGACTCCATTTAATGTATCACAGTAAAATGATACTAAATGATACTATTATAACTTAAAAGATTTAACACATCTCTTATGTAAACAATCATTAATTAATGGCCAATGATTTATGTTTTTAAAAACCTGTACACACTAGACCCTAAGGGACGGGAAAGGACAGATGTGAAGAGCACCAGGGACTCACGGACGTGGACAACAGGGTAGTGACTGCAGTGGGGAGGCAGATATTAGGGGCGTAAATAGTAATGGGAGAACATTACAATAAAAAAAGGACAAAAAAGGTTAAAAAACATTTTGGAAAGGAAATATGTGCTAGGAGTTCTTAGTACTCTATACCACATATTGTAGTCTAAGTAGCCGCATAAACTCTGAATGTATATACTGTTTAAAAAAAAAAGAAAGAAAAACCAACCCAGTCTTAGAGACCATAGCAGTCAGCATGCCTCAGTATTAGCCCAAAGAAAACTCACAATTAACACTAAAAGAACCCACAAAAAGTAATTAACTACTAAACTTTAATTTTTGCATCAAGCTGATTCAGTGTGTCGATGGAAATGACAAGCACAGATCTAACTGTATAAACAATCACGGCTCTCTGGGTGTTCAGTTTCTCCTACACGATCAGTCACACAGAAGCTGACACTAGCTGTCAATATCACCACCAGGTTCTGCCAACGGTGTCCTTTGCTCTGATTAATCATGCTGGAAGACAGGAAGGATTTTTACCATTTCCTGGAAGTGTGGATATAACTTTTATTTCTATCTTCTACTTGGTTTTGAATAATACTATTCTCCCTCACCAAAAAAAGAAAATAAATGTCTAATATCAAGACCTACGTAAGAATGTAAATACAATTAAACATAACTAAAGAACACAAAATGAGAAGGATGATACATGCCACTTTGGGCCCAATAACTGAAGAGCTGCAGAGGTTCTATGTACAAAAATAAAAATGATTTACTAATTTTTCTTAAAACATTATTGGAGCCAAGAAACTTTTTAAAATTAACATTAGTCTGTCCAATGAGTTCCAACTTGTCAAATCAACAATGTATATTCAGAACAAGTTTGCTCACCTATATCGTCTCAGACCTACTTCTACTTCAAGACAAGTAATCAAAAGGTTAGGAAATTACAATAATTTCTGGACTGTCTAAATGCCAAAAAAGAAAAGATAACAAGAGTCGGTTATTGACATCTCTATTGTAACATAAAAAAGAAACTCAGGGACACACGTGCAACCTTCAGATTTCATAGGCGAGACTTAATTTTGTGTTCATGGTCAAGTAGTTTATTATAAAGTCATCTCCTTAGGAATTAACAAAACTAGTAAAATCAAAGACTACCAAAATGATTTAGCTGCATTATACCTGAAGTTTTACAGAAATATAAGAGGAAACCCTTTCCTAGCTTTTGCAACAGAGTAGAGGTAAAAGATACTTATTTTAGCACACATTATTTCAAGCTTTTATTGTAATTCATTGCATTTCACGAAACAGTGACTCCTGGCATGTCAGACTGTATGTAATTAGAAGTGGTTTCTAATGATCAACAAATACCCTTGGAGATGAACATCAAGTCACCATAACACATCTTTTCACCACAGGGAGGCTTTAACAGGTGACGGCAGTCCCAGGTCCCGTTTCTGAAGACCTGTGCCATCAGAGCCCGTGGAAGTCACCAGCTCTGAACTCAGCCACAGCCCTGCACGGACCTTCCAGAGCCTGACAACGCCCCACACTTCCAATCACGTCAAAACAAACTACCAAGACAGCAGGCCAAGTTAGCACTAAGTATGAACCCAAAGGTTTGGGATCAAAGTATGATTTCCAATTCTCATGGTAAGAACATGAGATAAAATTCCAGTATCACTACTCTGTATTACCAAGCATGCTTTTTATTCCTAACACAAAACTTCTTGGAAGACAGAAATCTCATATAAAATACGAGACGTTTCACATTACTTATTTTTAAAACAAGCCGGAGTGTGTGTGAGTGGCCTTATCTGGTCGGTACTGCATAAGGAATGCCCTGTGCACACATGTGTCAACGCAAAAGGGAAAACATGCCCGCAGCCGGCGAGGCCCCCAAATACGGCGCGGGGGGCTGACAGCTGAGGGGGAGCGCGTGGCCTGCGGGAGGCCCGCGGAGGCCGCGCACAGAGCAACGCCGGCCGCGCCACCCGGCGGGTGGCGTGCAGGCTCGGCAGGAATGCGGCCGCGTTTTTGGCAATTCCCTCGCGGTTTTGGATGACATTACTGACCGCGGCCTTTCTTTTTCAGTTGTAATCTTACATTTAAAGAATATTATGAGTTGAAGGGCCTGCCTGGTCTTTAAAACAAATAGACTTAAAATTTGTATTTAAAAAGGCCTGTGGTAGTTCAAAGAAAAGAAAAATCTGCACAAAATATTGTACGTTCCACAAATACTGCCACATGCAGCTAAAGCAAAAGAGCAAAACCCAGTACCTTAGAAAAAAATAAGCGTGCTACTTTACATATCATTCTACATTTCCCTTTAAATGTATCACTTAAAAACGTCCTTGTGTAAGAGCAGTGCATTAGGGTCCTTACGCCCTGAGCACGGAGGGTCTTTAAAGCAGAGTCCACGCCCGAAGCACCGGCTCCGGACGGACGTGCGTTCCCAGACCCCGCGCCGTCTGCTGGTCCCCGGGAGGCCCGCTCCCTCCCGAACCGCCGAGGAATCTGCTTCACCGCCGCTCTACCGGCCACCCGCTGTGCCCAGCGCAGGGGAAAGCTACACCACAAAGTGAAAGTAATCATTTAATTTGGGCATAGACTGAGCGAATGTCTTCCTTCAAAGGTACAAACACTCGGTAACCAGGTCTAACTGTTTCGGTGATACTAAGCAAATCGAACATTGTGAAGGAAAAGTGCGGTCCCACTTCACAGGTGGCTGGCCCGGTTCCACGCACTCAGGAGCAGAGCTGAGGCTCACGCGCGGCGCCCGCAGCCAACGGGGCTGGCCCTGCCTCTGCCACTGACCGCAGTCCCGGGGGACGGCAGCCGCCCCCGCGACCCCCACTCCCCGAGCAGCCACGGCTCGCGGCCCCGCTGCGGCGGAAACGGTCCAGTGTCGCCCCCTCCCACGGTGAGGAAATCGAGGCTCACAGGAAGCACCCTCGCGGTTCACAGGCGGCAGGTGGGGCGCCAGCTGGGCCCAGAGGCCAGTCTGCCGGCCCCCTCCCACCGCTCCCTCCTCTCCCATCCGGGACCGCGGTAAGGGGCGGGCCGCGAGGAGGGCGCAGGGCCCTCAAGGACGCACTGCTGGAGGCGCAGGCGAGGAGCCCCGCAGGCCAGAGGGGGTGGGCGCGCACGGCCCCACTGGCCTCCCCTCCCCGCCCGCAGCAGGAGTGCGAGGGGGCGGTGCCTGTGCGGACACAGCTACTGCGCGGGGCACAGCGCTCCTGCTCGGAGGGGAGCCTGGAGCAGACAGTACCGGCTCTGGAGGAAGCCGCACCCCCTCGCGTGGATGTGCCCCACGCACAGAAAGAGATCGAGCGAGCCCTGGAAGAGCTGGGTCTCGAGGGCGCTGTTTGTAAAGGAGAAAGTCATTCGGGGCTTAACAGCTCCTGCTCCCTGTGGAAAACTTCCCTTTGGGTGAGGGCGCGGGAGGGGGCCACACCTGGGCCTGGGCCTGGGCCTCGGCCCCGCCCAGCGGCCGCCAGAGCTCAGAGGCTCCTCTGAATCACCCCCCACCCCCACGGGTACACTGAAACGCCAGCCTAAACCTCAAGTCCGTTTCAAAGTGGAATTTGCAACAGAGAAAAAAATCGTGGCAGAGACCAAACACCACGGCACCAGGGCCTGGGCAGCAGTGCTGTTCACAAGACAAATTAAACCCTCAGAGAATTTCTTATTACTTAAAACAAAATAAACCAGGCCACTACGATGGGCTTACACTATGGCATTTTGTTCATTTTAATTTCCTTTTTCTTTCATTAAACCATAAGTTCCCACGGAAATACCTTAAACACGTGCTCACAATAACTGGGATACTTAACATTTCAGCAGAAGTATTTTTGCACGAGTTGAAAGAAGTAACAAGAGTGCAGTGAGGGCCCTCCAAGTTTTTTGCTTATGTCAACAGCTATTTCACGAGCATGAATTATCTCTGAGGCTACTAAGCATGTGCAAAATACATTCCAGGTCTGTGAGCAATCTCCGCGCGGCAGGCCAAGTGAAGGTCTGAACTGCACGCGGAAACATCGACATCAGCTGAGCTTCCTGGAACATAGCAGTCAGGCTCGCCTCCCAAAGCCATCAGTGTTACATGTACCTTGATGCATTAGGTTCAAGTGTAACTACAGCCGAAATACATGATTCACCCGAGCTCTGACCTATTTTTCCTCTCAAAAGCAAAAGGAATGACAGTTATGAGACTCACACTTCCCGTTCCAGCATTTTTCTGGAAGTTGTTTCAGAGTAGAGCTAAGGGCAAAAGGCACTCGGTGACATTTATTTGCTTTATAATTATAGTTACTTATGTTATTGCTCATGCAACAGATAGAATTTTTATAATTTGTTAAATTATATTTGTGCATTTATTTTGAAATGGTACAGACCAAGAGGCATTCAGAAGGAACTAACCCCCATACATTCAGTTATAACAATCTGATGTACTTACAAGAGAACTAACAGTGGGCATGAGAAATACAAAACCAACATCTCACACATTTGAAAACACCTACCCCTGGCAGAAAGCTTCTTGGTGTTGATGATTTTGGCAGCATATTCTTGACCAGTAGGGATTTTCATACATCTTCTCACCACCGAAAAAGCCCCCCTGAAAATGAAAAATTACCAGGTCATCAACATAATCAATCAGCTCTGATAGTCTATTAAAAATTATAAGAATCTGAGCATTTTTATTAAATTTTGTAAATTTTCAAGTGTCAGTGCACTACCATAATATCCAGAAAATGACCAACTCTTCTGGAAACCCAGACCTTCCTTAATACTGAGAAATAAAAGTAAATTTTATTGAACTGGGAACACACATTATTAATCAACAAAATGAAAAGAACTGCCAATTATGAGGCTCTTGTTTGCACATGAAATCTGAGAAGCTTTTACAATTCACTCACACAGCACCAAATGCTTGGAGAAAAAAATCCTGCAAAGAGCAGAGCTGAGGAAGAGCAACAAAAATCTGCCGCCTATTTATTTTGCTAGGAAAAAAATTAATGTCGCTCCAAGTAAGTAAACACGGCGATTGCTTTTATTAAAATATAAATATTGGGAACGTTTGTGTGGTCTAACATCCTGGTACGGCGGCGATTTCTCTGTGCCCTGTTTGGGGCTGGGGGAGGGGCGAGATTTGAATTAAGCTGCTCTTCCGACATATTCTTCATGCTTTAACAGCAAACAATGCAGAAACATGTAAGGGTAGAATGTTCATTCCATTTAAAAGATATTTCCATTTCCTCTAATTCCGCGGCATGAAACACCCCATACACCGCACCCTTTCAACAGTAATAGTGGAAACAGGGGTTTGGGTCAGATGCTGCATAAATCGTAAATCAGCATCCCGGTCGCCCGGGAGTCCCCGTGCACAGCCCGACCCTCAGCAGGTCCCTGCCCATCCCTGCACACCTCCAGCCCCCGGGTCCCCGGGCAGGGCCTTGGCGGGTCCCTGTTCAATCCCTGCATATCTCCAGCGGTCCTGCAGGTCCGCGCACCGCTAGGCCACCCAGGGGGCTCCCCAGTGTCCTATGAGCTCTCCGCCGCGTGTAAGTCCCCCGGGGACGAAGGGGATGCGAGGGAGCACCGAGAACCAGTCACCCGGGCCGAGGGTGACAGGGGCACAGGCAGGGTCGGGCTGGTCTGGGCCGCCCCTCTCTGGACGTGGAATTCCGGGCGTCGGAAACACGGCACCAAGGGGACAGCGCGACCCGTCCGCGAGTGGTCGCTCCGTGGCTCTGGAGGCATCTGCGCTTACACAGAAAGGTCTGCGCTGCGTCCACACGGGCTCTCGAGGCGACGGCTCTGAGGCGGGCGGGCGGAGGCGGACGCGGGCAGGGCCCCCGGCCCGACCCCCCCCACCCCGGACAGCACCCTCCCCGTCCCCCGCCTCCCGGCGCCGCGCTTACTTTCCGAGCTCCTCGAAGAGCTGGTACTCGTCCGTGAACCGGGTGCAGGTGGTGGTGGAGGCCATCCTGGGGCCGGGCTGTCCCCGGGCCCGCTCGCCGCCCGCGTCCGAAAGTGGCCGGCCGCGGGGATAGCGCGGGGCGGCGGTGACCGCAGAGGGCGCCTCCTCCTGCGCTCGGCCCGGCTGCCCCTCCAGACGCCGCGCCGCTCTCCTCCAGCCCCCCTCCCGGACGCAGGGGCAGAGCGCTCAGGAACAGGGGCCGGGAAATGGCAAACAGCCGGCGCGGGCGAGCCGCGAGCAGCCAGCAGCTGCGAACAATCCGAGGGCCGGCGGGCGGGGCTGAGGAGCGAGGGAGCCGGGGCGGAGGCTTGGGGCCGGGGCGGGACTCCAGGCCTGGGGGCGGGGCCTGGGGGCGGGGCGGGCCAGGAGCGGGTAGGTGGGCGGGGCATGGAGCGGGGGCGGGGCTGGGGAGGCTTGCGCCGGCGGACCGACCGCCTCCAGCCTCGCGGCGGCCCCCGTACGCCCCCCGCGACCCCAGCCCAAGCCCTCGCGGGTCTCAAGGGCGCCCGAGCGAGGAGAGGCCGGGACAAGCGGACTGGGCAGAAGACTGAGCGGCGCGTGGCCTCCAGCGCGGCGGCCCTCCCGCGAGGGCGACCCCTCTGGGTCGCGCCTCCCTTCCGCAGGACTGCCCCTGGTCTCCACCTCCCCGCCTCTTCCAGGTCGGGGTGCTCCCACTCGGGCAGCCCCCCTAAAGGCGTCGGCTTTGGCTCTCACGTTCAGAGAACGAGAACAAGAACACCGCCCCTCGACCACACCTCCGCTCCTGAGGGACTCCTGTCAGCTCAGCAAGTTCCGAGAGGAAGGCGGTTATCGCGAGAGTTTCGCGCCGCCTGTGGGGCGGGGCCTCTGGGGGGGCGGGAGGTGGGTCACGCGACCCGCTGGGCTGACGTCACCCACACACGTGAGCTCGCTTCGCCTGGACTGCACAGCGAAGCGACGGAGCCAGTGTTCTCCCCGCTGGCCCGCGGGCCCTGCTCCGTGCTGGGTGGTGCAGCGGGGTGGTGTCCCCCGCGAGGGCTGTTCCGAATCCCCCGCAGTTCAACCACGGCCTGCTCGTTAGCGTCCGTGCTGGGGTTCGCAGGAACGGCGAGAACAATTATTGAAAACACCTGGGCCTTCCCTCCATCCCGGGGGTGGGGAGAAGGGGCCGCGTGCCGGGCGAACCTGCGCATCTCTGGAGGCCTGTCCGGGGCCTCCTACGCCGGGAGACGACGGGAAATGGCCACGCAGGAGGGTCTCAAATGAAAGCTTTCTAAACTAAACTCAGTTGGTGGTCCGTAGTCGCATAGTGGGCAGGCACCTTTCTGGACGAAGGTCAATCTTTACCTTAGCCGAGCCTGTCTCTTTGCCCTTTTGAATCTAGGATAACATACCTTAGGACCACCGGAGGCTTCAGGGCCCCAGCCGGGGACCGCAGAAACCCTCCGTGTGGTCCTGTTCATTGTAACGGCCCTAAAGGAAGTGTGTGTCTGTTCATTCCTTTCAGTTTGATCCACTCCCAGAGGTTTCCCCTGCTTTTCTTTATCCCACCTCCCTGATCTATCTCCGATGGACTTCATGTAACCCCCGTGGCCTCCTTCTTTGATTCTAATGCATCAGGCAAGCTGCAAAACTGCCATTCTCTAGTGTTGGCTCAAACCGTTGAGATTTTGCTTCCTAGCAATTGTCAGTTTGACTCAAATAAGCTCAGAAAAATTCTCTGCAGGTTTGAATGTTGCTTACATTGACAAGTGTTAAATTTGCTTGGGAATGCTAGACTGCCAATAACTGAGCTTTTACCGAAGTTCTCAAAATATTCACAATTTTTAACACTTATTATAACAAAATTGAACTTTGTACCCATTTTGATTACCAGAGGTAAAAAGCAAATTTAACACTTGTCACTGTAAGAAACATTCAAACCTGCAGAGAATTTAATGAGTTTATTTGAGCCAAACTAACGACAATTGCCAGGAAGCAAAACCTCAGTGGATTGAGGAAATGCTCCAGAGAATGGCAATTCTGCAGCTTATTTTATACATTACAGTCAAAGGAGAGGATGGTAAATGGGTTACATGAAACCCACTGGTGATAGATTAGGGAGTAGGGACAAAGTAAATAGGGGGAACCTTTAGGATTGGATAAAAAATAAAATTAGATACATACGAGGTCTGTCCAGAAGGTATCCACTATGAACAATAGAGACATTTATTGAAGAAGATAAAAGAAACATTGCACACAGGACAATGATGCCTCAGTCCCCCTCAAAGCAGGCACCTTGGGATCCCAGTAGCCATCAGCCACCCCATCATGTTTTCCTGAATCTCATCAATAGTCTGAAATCTCTCCCCTTTTAAAGGTGATTTTAGTTTTGGGAAAAGCCAGAAGTCACAGGGCAGTAAATCTGGGCTGTAGGGGGACTGACTCACCTGGGTGATTTGATGTTTTGCCAAAAAAACTCGGCACTAGAGTTGATTCATGAGCAGGTGCACTCACAGGATGAAGCTGTCAATCACCAGTTGCCCATATCTGTGGCCTCCTGAATCATCTGAATAGTTTCCTCAGGGTAATGTTCAAGCTTAAGAGAAAATTTGATGCAGATTTTTTACTCTACTTGCTCAGTAACTTGAATGTGATGGCCACACAGTACACATGCTCACTCATTGGCATCTACCGCCCCCCACTGACTAGTACAGTGAAGTCATCATTGTTCACACATGTGCATTACAGTCCACTCTCCTTGGCTGCCAGGTTGCGCTGATGTTGTGCAAACTGTTCTCGTTATATTAACAACGGCTGGACTTTTTCCAAACAGATCTCATACTTCTTTTACATAGATGGGTACAGGATCGTTAACAGTCCATGGTTAACACAATAATAACAATGAGGGCTTTCGCGGTCTCCATGTGGGTACTTCGGTGCAGTTGGGGGGTCCAGAGAAAGGAAATTACTTTGGCATTGCAGAGGTAATGTCAAAAATTCAAAAAGACAATACACAGGCTCAATTAAGGTAAAGAATGACCTTTGTCAGGGAATATCCTAGCCTAGGACACGCCTACCTGCTATGAACTGCTTGTAGTTAGCAAGTTTTAATTTCAGGCCATTCTTTATGGTTACTTTATGTCTCTGAGTTTGTAAGGCCACCACGCAGGCCTCCCCTGTACTGGTCAGGTTAGTATGTGGCCCCTGTTTGTCCACGCATTGGTACAAAAAAGGATGATACCACAAACTACATAAAGGAAAGAAACAAGTTGTCTAAATATTAACAAATGGGCTATAAAATGGAAAAACCAATTTGGTCCAGGCTAAAGATTTTTAATATATATCTTAAATATTTAGCAATATGGTTCAAGTTATAATCTAATATCTCTGAATCTAAAATTAAAACAGAAAAAGTAAAATTAAAACAATAAATAAAGTTAATACAAAATTTTACAACTCTGGGGAATAAAATTGTTTTTTAAATATTCACAGAATGAGGCCTACATAATTACAGTATTTCTCTCAGTTACTTAAATTACTGGTAATTGGAAATGGTTATGACAATGAAGGAAACATAATTGAGTGTTAATACCGATGTATTATTAGACAATAAAGGTGTACTTTTGAAAGCAAACACTCTCTGCTTAGTCTATATTTGCACTGCTCCTTGATCTATTGTGTAGAGTAAGAGCAGAGCTGACTTTGTGGACACTGTTGACAATCCAATATAGAGTCATGTCAGCCATGACAGTTATGTCAAATGCTATGTCAAGACTCAGGTAATGGTGTGTAAAGGGAACGCCCGAAACCACAAATCTGTACACTTGGATAGAGACTCCACCTGGACAGCGATATGAGTGGGACCCCCACCCCTGGTGGGCTGTAAGAACTCAGAGCTCTGACCGCCCAGTGCTCAAGCTGGACTTCCACTCCCCTCCTGGCTTGAAACCAACACCGCTTCTCCATCTGTGGATGCCACCAGGGACCCAGGCTCCTTGGGCTCGCTTCTGTTGTGTGAGCCCGCTCTGTGCGTGACCTGCGCACGACTCTGCTGGCTTGTTGGGAAGGTGTCCCCTAGCATGCTGGCATTGTGGACAGATACCAACGTGCATGAGTGACTCCTTTCAGGGATGCTCCCTGGCTCACGGCAGCTACATCTTGGGCTAATTAAAATATTTGTCTTATTTAAATAAATATTGACAGCGAATTCTGAAGTTTGGACCTCCTTAAGGCAGTACTCCTTCTACAGATACAGAGAAATTGCTCCGTCTGGATTTGAGCCCTGCCTGACCTCCACCCTGCTCTCCTGCTCTGCCCTTGCCCCCTTCCTTGGAGTCGCAGCACAATCGCCAGAACTATGCCCTTAAAAACTCAGAACCATCGTCCCCTTGCTCGGAACCTTCTGAAGGCGTTCTATCTCAGAGCAAAAGTCAAAATCCTGAACAGGGCGTACAAGGCCCTGGGTAGGGCATCGGCCCACTACCCAGGCTCCATTAGCCGTCCTTCCTCAGTTTGTGCCGGGCCCCCTCTGCACTGGCCACACTGGCCCGGCTATTCCTGGGCAGGACCGGACACCCCAAATTAGGGCTTTTGCATGTGCTGTTCCCTCCTTCCAGGAATGTTCACCTGTGAGTTATCCTCCCATCTGATTTCCTCACCTCCTTCCATTATTTTCTCAAACGTCACTCAGCCGTGTGGCCTCCCCCGGCTATTTATCAGTTACTGCGCCCCTTTCCCTCCCTGCCTCCTGCCTCATTTTCCCTGAATACTCATTACCATCTAGTATACTGTGCATTTTATTTTTCCTTGAGAATTGTTTATATTCCACAGCAAGACAGTGCGCTCTCCAAGGGCATGTGTTGTCATCCATTTTGCTCACTGCCGTAGTTCCAGCAGCTGGAATTATTGCTCAGCACATAGCAGCCGCTCGGTGAATTCTGTTGAGCAGGCAAGTTAATTACTTGGGGGTTCAGATTACCTAATTACAATTCTCATATTATATTAGAGTTGGTCATTGATAACATACCAATGAGATGTTTTACTGTGTAATTGTTTTTGATCAGGACGGTTATCGTATCCCATTACTAAAAGTACTTATGCAGAAGAATGGATTTAAAAAATACAGTAGTAATTGCCATCAAGGGAAAAGGATCTAGTGCTAATTTTCTTGCCATTGATGTCCATAAAGAAAGAGGAAATTTCTGTTTTTCAGCTATATTGGCCTTACCAAAATTTTCATTGCAATAAAAGATGCCAAAAGTTCCAAGTAGACTTCACTGTGAAGACACGAGTCAGTGTAAAGGAATGAAAAATGTGGTTTTGCT